TGATGCAGCTGATATACCACTCATCAAGAATATGGCCATTAGCTCCATGCATCGACGGGACACGTACTGTTGGAGCTATACGAGGACTGGACAGTATATAGTTAAATCTGGCTACTAGATAGCACGAAATATCTTGAGGAAGGAAGATGAATCTGAAGTATGTGAGCCTAGTATCACAAAACTCCAAACACGTGCTTGGGAGGTCAGGGCTCTCCAAAAGATTTGACATCTTATGTGGCAGTTGATAACAGGACATGTAGCTGTTAAGAGCATCTTAAACGACATACATATGAGATGTGACAACCACTACCCTCGTTGCGGGGAACCCGAGGAAACGATCACACATGCAATATTTGAATGCCCACCTGCATTACAAATTTGGGCGCTATCATCTACGCCTACCAATCCCGCTTTGTTTCCAGTATCAAGTACGTACGTGAATATGGACTATCTATTCTGGAAGAATGCAATAATGGAATCGGAATTGGACAGGGATCCTTATCCTTAGCTAATCTGGTACATTTGGAAGGCTAGAAATGATAAGCTATTCAGAGGCATTGATAGGGATCCATTGGAGGTAACGCGCTATGTAGAAAGTGAATGCCAAGCATGGCTCCAAGCAAATGAGAAGGATATATTGTTCTCCCTTGGGAACAGAATAGATGAAGACCAGGCCTTAAGTTTGGGTAACATATGCATGGTGGATGGATCTTGGACTTCTACCGATTTCTTCAGTGGATGTGGATGGGTGTGGAATGATAATTCCGGAAATAGCCAGTTAATGGGGCTGCGTAATTTTGATCGAGTGGAATCGGCGTTGCATTCAGAGTTGGAAGCACTACGGTGGGCAATGGAGAACATGCTTCAATATTCGCCATGTCAGAGCTTTGGAACTGATTGCAAGGACATGATCGAGATGCTCAAGAATCCTCATGCTTGGCCTAGGTTCTCAACGGAACTGGAAAAATTGTTGACACTGAAGATCTACTTTCCCGATTTCGCAAGGCTGCTAAAATAAGGGAAATGAAGAATACAATCAGGGAGGTTAAGTGTCAGTCTGGAGATGTTGTTACTTCTCAAGAGGGAATTAAAAAAGAAGCTGAGAGGTTTTCTAATGAATTCCTTTCCTATGAGCCGACTGATACTAGAAGTGTGACAGTAGCGGAAGTGCAGGAAATTCTCAGTTTTCGTTGTTCTGAAATGGATAGAAATTAACTGATCAAACCAGTAACTGATGAGGAGATTAAGGAAGTTCTCTTTCGAAAATGCCTAGTAATAAATCTCCGGGGTCGGATGGTTATACTGCTGAGTTTTTAAATCTTCATGGAGCATTATTGGGAAGGATTTCTCTACAGCTATTCATTCTTTCTTCAGTAAGGGTTTCTTACCTAAGGGTTTGAACATGAAGATCCTTGCTCTTATTCCTAAGAAGGACATGGCTGTGGAGATGAAAGATTATAGGCCCATCTCTTGCTGCAATGTTCTTTATAAGGTGATATCTAAGATAATTGCAAATCGGCTGAAAGGTACGCTTCCTCAATGTATATCTTACAACCAATCTGCATTTTTTAAGGATAGACTTTTGGTGGAAAATATCTTGTTGGCAACTGAGATTGTTAAAGACTACCATAAGGTTGACATTTCTCCTAGATGTGCCATGAAGATTGACATAGCAAAGGCTTTTGACTCGGTGAATTGGTTGTTTCTACTCAATACGTTAAGAGCTTTGAATATGCCGGATCAGTTTATTAAGTGGATTGAGCTTTGTGTTTGCACTCCATCTTTTTCTATTCAAGTTAATGGTGAGTTAGCCGGCTTCTTTCAGAGCAAAAGGGGTTTAAGACAGGGATGTGCTTTATCTCCTTACCTTTTTGTTATATGTATGAATGTGCTGTCGCACATGTTAGACAAAGCAGCTGCTCACAATCATATTGGATATAATCCCAGGTGTCAGAACATATTATTAACTCACTTATGCTTTGCGGATGACCTTATGGTTTTTACTGATGGGACAAAGAGGTCCATTGAAGGGGTTATTAAGATATTTGAAGATTTTGCAGCTAGTTGAGAAAGAATGACGGTTAATGACTACATGCCGCTAGTTGAGAAAGTTAAGAAAAGAATGAAGTCTTGGACGGGAAGATTCTTATCCCATGCTGGTAGATTGCAGCTAATTAGTTCGGTTATTAGTAGTCTTGCTAATTTCTGGCTTTCGGCTTTCAGATTACCTAGCAGTTGTTTGAAGGATATTGAAATTTTATACTCTGCTTTCTTGTGGTCTGAGCCTGAATTGAGTACTAGTAAGGCTAAGGTAAGTTGGAAGGATGTAAGTCTTCCAAGGCATGAGGGTGGTTTGGGGCTTTGTCCTCTTAAGGAAGTGAATATTGTGCTTTGTCTGAAGCTAATATGGAGACTGTATTCCAATAGATAGTCTTTGTGGGTTTGATGGATTCATTGTTATCTGATAAGGAAAAGCTCTTTCTGGTCAATTAAAAGCAGCTCTGTTGCTGGCTCTTGGATGTGGAAGAAGCTGTTGAAGATGAGAGAGCTTCCTATGTCTTATCTAAAAATGGATGTCAATAATGGAAGGCATACTTCATTCTGGTATGACACTTGGTCTCATCTGGGATGTTCGGAAGATTTGTTGAGAGATGGAGGTAGTATTGATTTGGGTATTCGAGAAAATGATCTTGTTGTGGATGTTCTGAACCAACATCGCAGAAGGAGGCATAAAGTTCAAATTTTAAATGAAGTGGAAGATGAGATTGAGGTTATTAGAAGGAAAATGAGCCATGAGGAAGATGTTCCATAGTGGAAACAATTTGATAGATATTCTAAGGTTTTCTCCACAAAGAAAACTTGGTTAAATATTCGCCATTCTCAGCCTGTATGTATGTGGAGTAGAGGAATTTGGTTCCCTCATTCTACACCAAAATATTCTTTTCTGATTTGGGTGGCGGTGAAAAAGCGATTGCAGACTATGGATAGGATTGCTTTGTGGAATAATGAAGTTGATGGAGAATGTGTGCTATGTGAAGAGGAACAGGAAACTTGCCAACATTTGATTTTTCAGTTGTAATTATTCTCGAAGAATTTGGAGAGATATGGTTGGTGGTATTATGGAAGAAGCTTTCACTACAGACTGGTCTGAGATTCTTGCTGTCATTTCACAGCCTAGACATGACTCTACGAAGCTTTTTATCATTCGCTATGCTTTCACTACAAAAAAAGTTCACATTGATAGCAGATTGTTATAGCACGTTTTACCGAACTGCTATCATAGAAGACTTAGAAATTTCCGTATTATATAATAGCACTAGATAAACGCTATGATAGAATAAAAAGTAAAACAACACATAATTAATGCTATTTTGAAAACTAAGTGAGCGGGAAGATAAAATCACCGATTCCCCCAAATACTTAGCGGAAAATTATATTTAAGCGCCAAAAACATAATTTAAGCAGCTTTGGTAATGCTATAATAGCATTTTTCTAATGCTAAGAACAACTATCTGAATCCTTAAACTTTATACATGATTTTAAACCCCAAACTCTAAAGACAAACCCTAAAACTCTAATTTCCATATGATAACTTCAAATTTTAAAATTAAACTCAAAAATTAATCTTTTTAATTTCAAGCTATAATTTTCGGAGCACAAATCTTAAACCTTTGATCAAACCAAAAATCATACCTGAAATGAATGGATTAGTTGAAGCCCTAAAACTATTTTTACACCCTAAACTCTAAACATAAATTTATAAACTCTAAAAGAATTAGAGTTTAAAAATTAATGTTTAGAGTTTAGGGTTTAAAAATAGATTTAGGGTTTTAAGTATAAGCTGAAAGTATAATATTTTCTAAAAATCAATCGAAAATCTTAAATCAATACCCCAAACATTTAACTCTCAAACCCTATTCTCAAATCTTTATTCCAAACTCTAAACTTTAAATAATTTTTTTAAAAACTTAATAAATCAAATCTTGAGTTATAAATCATAATAATGTTAACTTATATACATATCTACTTTACGCTAGTTATATATAAATCTTAATTTATTTACATATGTACTTTACATAAATGCATTTCTATAAAAAAATTCTTATAAAAATAAAACCCCAATTTGTTAAAGTTATATACCATTAAATTTATAAAAATAAATTATAATTTAATTTTATATATAAAAAATTACTTACAGAATTAAATTATAATATTTAAACAACTATTAAATAAAAAGTTTTTGATTGGTTAGGTTTGACCATTAATGTCTTTAAAATCTTAAACTCTAAATCCTATTTCATAAACTCTATTTTCTAATACCTAAATACCAATCACAAACTTTAACTTTTAAAATTTAAATCTAAATTTGTAAATTGTGACATCTAAATCTTAGATTTTCCCCAAAATAATTTTTATTTTCGATAATTTATCATAAATATTTATATATCACACAAAATGAATAGGAAAACAGTTGATACAAAGAAAAAAATTAAAAACCTATCTGATTGGTTAACATAGTGTGGCCAATCAAGTTTTAGAAATAAAAAAAATGTGGCCAATCACGTTAAAGGGTGCAGATCATCCATTGTGTAACCACAACCGTTGATGAAAGTTACTCTAATGGACTCAAATGCACAAAGATTAAAAACCAGATTACGCTTCTTTTTTGTTTGTCTCGATCTCCTCCTTCCTCTCTTCCCTCGACCGTGAAAAATCTGGTCTTTCAATCAATCTCTCTTTCTCTTCATACCTTTGTCATCTTCTCTTCTTTCTCTTACTATGCACTATTTTAAATCTAATTTCTCTGCTCTCTGTTTTTTTTTCCAGATCGAATTGCTTCTCCCTGCCATGAAGTTCACCTCGTCTCAAGCTCCGGAAGCTTACCACCTCGCCTCTTCTCGACTCGAATCGCCTCTGCTGGACTCTCCTCACTTCATCTCGAATCTCCTTGCTTTTTTTTTTGACTCTCTTTTCTTAAGTTTCTTCCTTCTTTGACTTCAATGGATGCGGAGATAAGCCTCAGAAGCTGCGTCAGAGGAGGCACGGAAACCATGAGGCCAGAAGCAGAGACGATGATATCTCCGGTCAAGGCTGGAGGAGGCCAGGCGCATGACTGTTGGAGGAGGCGCACATGGAAGAGGGCGGCTGGAGTTTTCCAATCTGTTTTTTAAGGTTTAGTTTTTTTTTGTTTGGTTTAGGGTTTTTTTTTAGATTTTTTTTGGTTTAGTTTAAACCAAATTCGAAATTGTGGTGGTTTACTTTATTTTCTATTTCTGGTTTAGTTTTGTAAACGGAAATTTATATATAAAACAATTTTAATTTAAAATAAATTTATCTATTTGTAAATTATAAAAAGAAATTTAATTTAATTTTTAAATATTTTAATTTTAATTGTTTTAGTTTTTGTTTTGTTTTAGAATGATCTATCATAGCACAAAATATGAATCATTATTTATGTTAATAATAGCATCCGAATATTCCTGTCATATCACCAGTTTTCGTAGCTTCTACAAAAATGGTATCGTAGAAGGGGTACCTATGATGGCTGCCGATTACATGGCAGATGGTAAAACGCTATGAAAGACCTACCATAGCGTTAATCGTGAGCTAAGAATGTTAATATTTCTTGTAGTGTTTCCAAGCTGTTGCGCACAGCCTTTGGAGAGAACGTAATGCGCAGAAGCATGGGGAGTCATTAATGGAGGTGCATACTCTATCAAAGCTTATAGATAAATCTATCCGTTTGAAGTTACTTCTTTTCCAAGGGAAAGGAAAGAATTATCTTGATGAAGGCTTGAGTAAATGGTTTGGGACAAGAACTTATTGAAGAGGTTGTGTATATGTCTTGGATTGATTTCTGATTCTTCATGTTGCCAAATGGAAAGGGAGGTTATCTGTTCATGATAAGCTTTGTGTTGGAGGTATGGAGGAGGTTTGTCTCCGGGTTCGATGACGGTTATTCTGAGCCAGAATTGTAGTTGGGTTTGGATAAGGGGGCTGTTCTCCATCTATACACTCTCCTGACCTTAAAATCTTTACTCTTTCCTCATTAAAGGTTTGTCCCATTTGGGTTTACTTTGATGAGGTTTTAATGACGAAGATTTTATGGTCCCTCCAGTTTTGACTTGTTTCACATGGTAAAATTGAGGGGGAGTGTTAAAATTTGATTTGTGTTGAGTTTGTAATCGTTTAATATTTAATTTTTCTATAGTTTTATGCTAAAGCTGATGCACTTGATGTAAAACTGTTTTTTGGTTGAATAAATTTTATATTCATTCAAAAAAAGAAGTTTGATTTATTTCTTCATATAATACGATGGTTATGCTAATACATATTTCAATATAATTTGAAATAATTTTATTATAGTATATTTCATTACCATTTTATATATATGAGAGTTTTAAGTTAAAGACTTGACCTTAAAAATCCATAAGTTTTGGAAAGAAAGAAAAAAAATCCAAAGAAAGTACAATCACAGAATATGATTATCTAACGCTCATTATGGATTTTTGCATCTAAAAGCTAACAGACCTAAAGTTTGTTAACGAGTACTCCATTGAAAGAATATCAATGATGCAAAGATATTAAAATCTACATTTTCACACAAGTAATGTTGCAGCAGACACATGATTACAAAAGTTTATACTTGTATTTTGTCTCCTTAAGACTAAGAAAAACAATGTGCTCTTGATGTAAGATCATACATCACGTATAGTTGGTTATGATTCATTCTCTTGAAGAGAATTTAACACTTTGAAAAAGAAAATCCGCACAACTAAAAGTGGTAAAGAAAGTGAAAATAAAAGTTGTTGTAGACGTGAGTGTGGATAGATATATGGCTATGGTCAAGGTCAAGACCATACGAGTTTCTTTTAGAACTCATATTCTCACTTAAAGTTGAGAAATAAAAATGGTACTAAATACATATATTATTCAATCATCTAAAGATGAAAGAGATTCTTTGTAGAACTCATATTCTCACTTAAAGTTCAGAAGATAAAGATGGTAATAAAGAAGAGATATGATTCAATCATCTAAAGATGAATACAATACAAAGTCATATAAATCTTATAGAATGTTAAAGAAGAGGATATACATGAATACTTTGGAAGAGTATATAATTTTATTGAATATAAGAATGCAACTTGAAATCCTTATGACATTATATTCTTATAAGTCTCAAAAGTTAGAAGAATCTAAGAAAGAATACATGACTATGTAAGGTATGTTGTTGATCCAAAAATGAGATTCATTCGAGATTTAATAAACTTGTAGTATTATCATCCCGAGGGAAAGATATGAGGAATCTCACAGTTTATATTAAGTGAAACATCTAGAAGATTATGTTTACACTAAATTGAGATCAATTCTTCTTAAAGAAATTCATAGAGATTTGAGACAAATTATGATGAGACACTAAGCGAAAGAAATGTTAGATTCATTTCAAATCAGAAATACTTTACAAGGTAGTAGAAGTATTGTGAAGAAAGTGTCTTCGTCCTCTTATGGATTATATTACACAAAGATTAGTGTTTGGAGATAAATATATAGTAAACCAGAAAGTTAACAAAATATTTGGCATGAACCAGTTAGACCATTTTGGTTCAGTAATGAAGCGAAAAGATATTGAAATATTTATGTTAATAGTCATTGAAGAATCAGAAGATTCATTCAAATATTTGACATATGATGCTTGCTAACAAGATAAAAGAGTAATATGATCTTCACCAGCAAAATAAAGTTATTAGCATGAAAATAGGAGATATTGGTGGACTGATCACCCACCATGCATCTTTATAATATTGGTGAATTCACTTCTTAAGTCTTTAACGACTATAGAAAATTCAGTAGGATAAATGTTAAACATTTTGTGAAACACTAATTCGCATCAAGCCAACAAGTAATCAATAGTTCTCCCCGTCATTGGTATTGGGTCAGAAACAAACCATTTTCCATCTAAGAATGTTGGATGTGCGATATACATTTCAATTGCTCCACCACAGAGCTTTAATTAAGATAGGTTTTCGAATGAGGTCGAAAATATATGTTGGATATGAATTTACATGGATACTTAAAAATCTAGAGCCATCCTTGAAGGAAAAAGTGAATTCGTATTTCCAACATAAGGGGAGAAAATAAACAGCTGGAAAAGAAAATAAGTTGATCTGAATTATCATTGATCCTCAGACTAAAGAGAATATCAAATAGAAGTCTAAAAGATAATTTAGTTATAGAGCTTTGTAAAGAAATTTCCAGATACATTTGCTGACCCATATAAATAGAGTGATCAAGTCACATATACCAGCTGTAAATTCTTCAAGAATAGTTGATGTTCTAGAAGAACAATATCAACTGCTAAACACACCTGAAGCGTTGTAGACATCTTGGTTCCACAGACAAGAATCTCCGTACATGAAAAGGAGCACATATTGAAAATGGTCAAAACGAGGAAATAAAGTTTGTGAATGATCTCCAGAAGAGACATTAAACATGACTGAAAGAAATTCAGGTTCCTGAGACAATGAAGAGATCTCAATAAAGTTAAGTCATGTATGAAATAAAATAGACCGATAAGCAAATCGATGTCAATGATATATATTCATGCAAAGTAGCAGTTGACATGATAAATGAGAAAGAGGATCATGAAAGAAAGTCTATTGAAAAGTGTACACGAAGAAATGATTGTCCAAATCAGAAAAAGTAATAGACAAAACTAGAAACTCTTTTAAAATAGATAAGTATTTGGACCAATAGTCCATACACAATGTGTAAAACATGTGGGGTCGAAATGAGTCTTTGCACCAAAGAAAAATCAATGTGAAAATGATTATGAAAAGACATAGTTACATGTGGTAGATGTAACTATTTTCAAGTTCCTTATTAGTCTGGCAATAAAGGAAAAACTTGAATAATATGACCCACTGGAAATGATAATCTCTGAAAGATAAAATTCATAAAGGATTGATGATATCAAAATCATGTTGCCGGGAACTCTAGCTATTCGATCGAAATATGCTTATGGGATATATGAAATATAGTTAAACAATACACGATTTGTATTTATTTAGAGATTATAGATCAAGAGATTATTGATTTGAATATAATAAAAACTCACGAAGAGTTATAAACATTTGTATTTTGGAATAAAACTCTTGACAATACCCTACGTATTCCAAATGGAATATCTAAATGTGAGATGTTATCTTAAAGATCCTTATATTAAGATGCTCATATATGTTTGGTCTTGAAGTACCATACTTAAAGTATTATATGAGAAAAGTTACTAATCTTTTATGTGACTAATAGATGTGATTACATATGACAATAAAGAAAGTCATAAAAGTAACTTTAGAATAAGAGCATGAATAACTTTTATGTATAAGACGAATGGTTATATGACTGGATGTAAAGATATTTGACTTGAAGTCTTAATAGACTAAGAAATTGTTATTTATGTCAAAGGAGAAATGTAGACCAAAATTCTAAAAACATAAATATTATAACATAAATCAAAAGAGTTTATTTTTTTAAATCTCAATTCCCAAAAGAGATATACTCTACTGGAATTCATATCTTGATGATATTGCTTCCAGAGGAAGAAATGTGATAATGTGTGTGGTTGTACTCTTTTTCCTTATCATGGTTTTTATCCTACTGAGTTTTTCTTTGACAAGGTTTTAATAAGGCAACAAAGAACACACTAATGATAGACATCCAAAGAGGATATTAGAATTCAATGATAAAGTCTATCAACGTTCAAATTTCTAAGATGAAGAGAATAAAAAAATATGATCACACATATGAAGAATCAGAAGAATGACGATGTTTGTATCCCACAAGTTCATCCAAGTGACAGTTTGGTCGGTTTATTCACTACGGAGTTATCTAACTGCTACTGTCAAGAAGCATTATCTCAAAGATCTCGACATATGTACACATGAGGGGAAGTCATTGCGCGCTGCACTTTTTTCCTTAACAATGGTTTTTCCCATTGGGTTCTCTTGATGAGGTTTTAACGAGGCGACATCTACGGCGTTTTGAAGCACTTTGCTATAATGGACATCAAGGGGAAGTGTTATGAATATTGTGTGATGTCCAATATGGAAAGTTCTAGATTTACTTGTTCCCCACTCCAAGTTATACTTTGTACTCAAGTTATTGTAATCCTATATAAATGATCCATTACTCATAGAATAAAACACACAAATTCCCCCTTTTCTCATCTTTACTTACAACTACTAATTATTATGGTCTGTAGGGATTATAGAAAGAAGTAGGGCTGGGCAAATAAACCGAATCCGAAAACCTGAACCGAGCCCGATCCGATAAAAATGAATCCGAAGCTATCCGAACCCGACTTAAATACCGAACGGGTCTTTTTATGGTAATTAGGGTTATGTGTATTATCCGAACTGAACCCCAAATTAAATGAATATCCAATAGAACCCGAAACATTCAAAAAAATTAATAAGAACGTGTATTGAATATGATCTTAATTCCTAATATATATCCAAAATACTTTAAGATATTACTAAATATCTAAAATAATTATCTAGTACATGAAGGTTAATGGTTGAAAGTGGCGGTTAAACCTTGGAAATTTTAGATTAAAGTTTTGTTTTTATTGAATAATGTTTCTCATTTTTAAGAACTTGGTTTTCGTTTTATGCTTTCATTTATTTGGTTTTCTTTCAATTAATAACTATTTACCTTTCATTTGATTTTGAATGATCGTGTTTGATGTTTCTTTCTTATTTTTAAATCAATTTTACTTATGTTTTGCTTACAAAATAGTTACACATCAGGTACTTTAAATCCAAAAAAACC